CCGTTCCAAACTCTAGAACTTGTTTTCGTTTTATATGTATTCAAAGCTCAAATTTAACATAAAAAAGCACATTATACATAATTTTTTTTACATGACATACATGACTTATACATATAAATATATAGTAAAATATAAGGATATTTCTTCATTATTTTATGTTCCCACACTAATATTATTACCCACGACATTATCATTACTATTCGTACTATAACTTCCTTCAATCATTTTTGGATAAAGTTTTAAATAGAAATTTAATCCGAAAGCAATCATTAAAGAAACGCACACAAAAATTGGTGCAACAATATCATCTGAAAAAAAAAAAAAACCACTATTATTTAGAACCATTTGTCAACAAACAACAAATGATAAAAGAAAACTTACCATAAGGGCCTGGTTCTTTAGCATTGATCAAACTAAGTCTTGAATTGTATTTGTAAAGTGAATATATTAAAGTGCAAACACCTATTGCTGTATAAGCCATAGCACATCGCATTCCAAGTTCATTATCTGCAGCGGATGCATTAAATAATGCTATAGAAAAAGAACTTAACAAAACGCAGAATCTCATCCATGAAAAAAAAGTTCTTTCATTATGTTAAATTTGAGCTTTGAATACATATAAAACGAAAACAAGTTCTAGAGTTTGGAACGGGTTTTATTTTTTATCAGATATCAAAGGTGCTGAAAATTTTGTAATTTATTTAATTGCAATAACCAAAGTTTTTTATTAATAGTGCTTTTATTTAAAATCGTATCCTAACGTTAAAAAAAAAAATTATAAAATAGAATACTAGTTTAACCAGTGTTGGCAATTTAATGGTTTGTCAGCCCAATAATCATTTAATATCATTGGTTAATTTGATAGCTGTATCTTCCGCAGTTTGTATTATTAAATACAAGATAAAGCGTCGCACAAATCCAGTGAGTCTTGTGTTAACTGTTAGGATGTCATCAATTAGTTCAATTATAAATTAATATATAGAGTAAGGTATATATGTTACGGGTCAAATTGGTTTTTAGATCAAGTTAAGCTTGGCCCGGGTCAAATTGATCCCTAGCAGAATTTTAGGCCGGAATTGTGTTGATACCGGTCGGGGTTTTTAATTGATCAATTTGACCCGGGTCAAATTTAACTTGACCTAAAAACCAATTTGACCCTTAACATATATATGTGATGAATAACAATGTTTTGCAAGGTGTTGTTCTTAATATATTGATAATAAGTTTCAAATTATTAAATGGAATAGATCGTTTTTTTTATATATATAAGTTAAAGCGAAATTGTTGTTAAACGCTAATGTTTAGGTAGTAAAAAAAAAAAAAATTGCTTTATTATTTTAAAGGGTGCTAGGAGGTATATTTACGTAGCGGTACTCGGTTATCCTATAGCTTCGGACATCTATTAGTTTCTGATTTCCTAGTTATATAAATATTTTATACAACAAATTGCATACAAAACTAAGATATCACAACTTATGATGTATACTATTTCTTTCACGTAATAATAAAAGCGTATAAAATCTAATCAATATCAACTTCCAAACCGTAAAAGTCGGACACGTGACCTCGGGTATTTCACTTCTCAATTCTGTACCTGAGGGGTGATGCATATATATGGATTTCCCCGACAACCATTTCGCCGACGGCCATTTCACCGACAGCCCACTTCCCCGAAACTATTTCTCCGACAGCCCCATTACCCCAACAATCACTAACCAACACTAACTATAAAGCGGGCCAACCCTAACCAAAAATCGGGCCAAAATTGTCGGGGAAATGGTGTCGGGAAAGTGGGCTGTCGGAACAACGCCAGGGCGTAGGATCGATTTTACTGTCACATGATTTTCCGACGTCTATCAGCCAATCAAAGATCAGGAT